GGATGATCTAAACTTGTTTTTGTAGTTCTTACTACTTTAACCAAGCTCCACAACATTGGCTTTAGCCATACCAGGATTGAACATTTTCTTTTCAGAGCTCTTTTTGTCTTCTTCAATTCGAAGTCTAACAATTAGTTCTTCAACGTTCATTTCCTATCGCTTGTGCTTCAAATAATTTTTGAAATCTTTCCATTCGAAGGGCAATTTTTCAATAATTGCAGCCACTTGAAAAATTTCACTCAAAATTATCCATTCAGCGTGAATTTCGTGAAGAATTACTTGGAGTTCTTGCACTTGACTAATAACTGTTTTAGAGTCCACCATTTTATAGTTTAGGAATCTGTCGACAATGAACTTTTTAGCCTCGACATCCTCAGTTTTATATTTTCGGTCCAGAGACTCCCACAATTCCTTAACAGTTTTCATAGTACTATACACATTGTATGGCGTGTATGTTAAGCTATTCATAATATAGTTTCGACACAGAAATTTCGAATGGTTCCAAGCATCAAGTGCACTGATGGCTTGAACATTTCTCTCACCCTCATTGAGTTTTAGAGGAGTCTCAGTTAAGAATCTCACAAGATTCAAAGTGGTCAGATAAAATAATATTTTTTGTTGCCACCTTTTGAAATTCAAGCCATTAAATTTCTCCAATTTTTCTCCATGATTAACCGGAACATTAACGGTATGGCCAGTTGTTGGAGCCACAGTTTGACTCACAACATGACTTGACAATCTAGTCACAGTCTGAACCACAACAGAGCTTGTCCCTTGAGCTACAGTTGAGCCCATAGTTTGATTTTCAGTAGGCACAGTTTGGGTCACATCCATGTTGGTCGATTCGTTTGCCATTTCTGAAAATCAAACAAAAAAAATTAGTTTTCAAAATTAACCGTATAAGAAACCAATTTTTTCCTTTAGAAATATGTTTGAAGTTTTTTGGTAAATTTAATTGGTAGTGTATGGAGTAGAATCGGGTTCTCATATATCGTATATGTGATTTAGACACCGAATTAATACTTACCGTATTTGGCAATTGTTTACCATATTTGACAGTTCAATTCACCGTATATGACAGCTTATCGTATATACTAGGCAGCTCAATGTATTTGCACAAAATTTGCATAAAGTGCTTTTATTCATACACTAACTAAAATAACAAAAAAAAATTCACTTACAAATCTATTTTTCAGACGTATAACAAATTGAAAAAAAAAAACGTGCATTTTATTTTAGTTTTTATTTTTTCCTTTTAGAAATCTATTTCTAACATAAATTTAACAAACAATATATGAGACATGTAAATCACTAAATAAATAAATATGTAAGAATAAAATGTAAACTAAATAAATAGTAGATAAGTTTTCAACCCGAGATCTGTGCGAACACAATTTCCTTAAAACAGATTCCTCCTCTCACCGTAAGTGCTTGAGATTTAATCTGAGCGTCTATTTTGCAGGATACAACAACAAAGCCCGTAGAATTTGAGCACCACAGAAACTACTCCGATGAACTAATACAGTGTTTGAACAATATCATAACGACCTTACTGGACAAATATGTGTATGCAAGAAATCAAGACCTTACTAAATAAAAACATGGACAGAAAATGTAAGGGATGTTTTTTCTGAACAGCGAGGAAGAGAATGTTTTTCTTTTTCTTTCATCTGTGTAAATTGTTGGAAACTTGAGATTTAATATAGCATAAACCTGTCATTAACTCTATGGCAATTAACATTGGAGTCACTTCAATTTCTGTGAATTTTGGAAGTTTCAAAACTCAAAAGTCAGTGGAGAAAGCCAAAAAAAAAATAAAAAATTGCAAAACGTGTGCTCTTCGGAGGGGCCAATTTTGCTCCTTTCGGTCCAACATTCATGTACACAGGTCGCGCCCGCACACAAGTTTAAGGTTCGAAGGCAATTTCGTTCCAAGATTTACACCCCACTGCGCGTGCGCGTGGAGAGAGCCTCTATACTACACATGATTACACCCTTCCAATGTGCAACCATATTTAAAGTGGTTCTTGCTTTCATATTTTTTTTTTATGTGGGATTAACTTCAATTTTTCCCGCATAACCATCTTTCAATGGTCATCTTCGAGCTCCAATTTCTCATTCATCAATTCATCAATTTTGACAAATAAATATATAGTTTCGATGCTCTCACGGAAGAGAATAAGGATCGACTTTGATCTTTCAAATTGGACCAATGAGTCTCACCGAAAATCTTGCCAAAAGTGAGCTATTACTCATTTTTTCCTATACCAATAAACCTCCAAATACAAATATCGTGTTTGCACAAAATAATTTTTCGACACAATCTTCATTAACTTTACCTCTTTAAGTAGAGGTTTTAAGAAGGGATGTTAATAGTTCGAAAATCTCTACTCGACTAGGTTTGTAGCAGGCAAAGAAATTTGCCTTGAGTCAAGAACGAGTGTACGATGAAATTTCGTGTATTAAAATACGAAAATCGTTACAAATTGTATTTTAATAAATACAAGTGATGTTGACTTTCTTGTAATTGCAAAATTGTAAAAATCCTCCGATTAATGATTTGAATGTTTGAAGACGAGGGGCCGCATGAATTGAATCCTGATCTTCGAGAATTTGTTGAAAATTTGATTTGTCGAGATTTAACTTGTTAGGAACTTGAATCTTGGGGTTTGGACTTGGATTTAGACTTGGACTTGAATTTGATTTCATTTGAAGAAGACTTTGATTTTCTTGGACTTGGTGTGAAATTGTTTGATTTGAAGAAGATTTTGATCTTCTTGGGGTTCACCGAGTTTTGGGTTTGAGAGAATTTTCTTCCTTTCGTCGGTTTTGGAATTTCTTCAACACTTTCTGATTGCATTCTCTGCTTATTTTCTTGCTTCTTCTATCCCTGTCTTATGGACCATTGGTCATATTTATAGGCCACGCCACGCCACCCCAACCCACCCGCACAATTGGGAATGTGACGAGGATAGGATAGTTAAATCTCCAGAGAAGCGGGAACATGAACGAGGAATAGGGTTCTCGCCTATTATCATTCCTAATATATGATCCTATAATTAGTTGGACTAATTCAAACCAAGACATTATTAACATAAAAGTTACAATTGAAAGATTAATTTACTAATGAAAAATATTTATTTTAAATTAAAAAATATATGCTCGTAACATAAACTAACATTTTAATGACTAAATGTGTGTTTTCTTGTTAAATCGTTTTATGAACAAATCTTCTACGGCGCCTCATTAACTAAAATTTCAATGTTGTCACATATTCAACTAAAAAGAAAAATAATTTTAACGATGAATTTATAATACATTTACTTTTAAGTTTTAACAATGAAATCCCCACTCATTCATATTGAACAACTAAAAGGATCTACAAATTAGCTTGTCAATGAAGAAAAATTATATTTGTACCAAATAGAATGTACCAAAAAAATTTCCTCCTCTCACAATACATACGGGCCTGCATGAATATAAAAATTTCCAAATGTGGTCTTCATCCCCCATTGTGAGGAGTATGTAAAGGATTAGAAAAAAGAATTATGTACATGTAACATTGTCCATCAACAAATATGAAATGGACACCTAATTCACTGTTCATTTAGCTAAAAAAATTAATAATAATTTAACTTAAAATTAACAATTATTTTTAACCATACATTTCGAGCGAATCAAGTTGGCTTGAATGAATTTTTCCATCCTCTTATGCATCTAGCTCTCGACGCAGAGCTACGCTTCAACTATCAATTGAGCTTAGGAAGTTAGGTTGAGGAGTTGGCTTTTTTAATCACATGGAGACATACATATGTGACATGGTTGGATAAAGCTTAGAGCCACCACGAAAGAAGTGAGGATGGGGAAATCATATCGATATGCATTCTTTCTATCAGCCTTGTGTTTCAACTAGTGCTCCGATGTCATGTAGTGGTCCCCATGGGTCCTAGTTTTTTCTAACACTTATTCGATATCTCTTGATTGGAACCTCACGAGACAAGGTATCAAGGAAAAGAGTAAAGTAGATCAGAGTTGACGATCGAGACCCTTTTGGGCGGAGAAAAAACTATTTCAAACCCGTAAGAGAAGTACTTTTGACAATAATATATTTTTATGGAATCCACAATTTTTATTAATTTTTTTATTATACATTTTATTAATTTTAATCAAAATTTACTAAAAACATGATTTTTAGCAAAATCAAACATAACTTAAATGTTATCTTGCATGGTTGGTTAGCCAATGGATACTGATTAAGTCATAGAACAAACTTGTTATCAGCCAACTAAGGTGTGTCAAGGGTTCGAATTTTTTCTGGCATATCGGATGTTGCATTGCTATTTTTGTATATATTTTTTTAAACGTAATAAAAAAAATTTACACGATCAAGTCGTTGACTAGAAGACACAAACCTAGCACGATTCGAGTTTCAAAACTCGGATAAGTGCTGAAATGTCACGAACTTGAGCAACTCAACCTTATTACACGAGTTAATAGTTACATCACAAATATTAACTAATATTTAAATTGCTCACATGCATGAAATGGCTACTAATTATTCTCTTATGAACGAGTTGTGCAATTTTCAATTTAAACTTCAACACATTAGACTAGATATATTCAATATTTTTGAGCTAATAATTTTATGATCTCAATACTTTTATTTATAAATCATTACAAATTGACATAGTCTACCAAGTTCAATAGAATACTTCTGGTTGATTTCTATTAGACTAATCCCTTTGGTTAACTTTCCTCAGCCAAAAGGAAATAGTGACAATACCAATTATATGGGATCAATGACCTTTTCAAATGGGACTTGTTCAACATTAGAAACGGATCTTAGAAATCTTTTTAAAGAAAAAAATAATTATTATTTTTATCTATGTACACTCTTTAACCACTCCCTAATTTTCCAGTTAAAATACCATTAATTGGAAAAATAATTTTTATATAAATATTTTATTTAACGACCAATTGTTCGGCACTTAGCAAACTACGGAACACGTGGCGCGCTAAGCAAACGCTTGATTTCTTTTCCAATAAACTAGAGGTATCCCGCCTAATCTTTCGTTTCGAAGTTGCCACGTCATCTGTAAAGACCCAAAATCACCTGCTGTGGCGCCTCGTGATATTCATTATAGAGTTACTGTTATACAATATACACAGACTCTTATTCCTCCAAATAGAAATTCGATCTAATCATTCATCTTCAAAAACAATACGAGAAAAAAACGAATTACGGTTTTAATTTATTTATTGATTTGTAAGAATCTATTTATTTTTGTTGAGAGCGAAATCGAGAAGTAATGGAGAGTGTTGATTCGGCTCGCGCATTTGTTAGAGACGTTAAGCGTGTCATAATCAAGGTTTTTTTTTCCCTGTTTAGTCTCTTTTTTCTGTTTAATGTATATTAATTTTGTACTGCAGGTAATATTGGGTTATATTGGGTGTTTTTTTCCTTTGTAATTTATTTTAATTTGCGGATTATTGATGCTGGATTCAAATGACGATTTGCATTTAGTTGCATTTTATAAAATTAAGATCTTTTATTTAACAACGCACTCTGATTTTGGAAGTTGTAATGAATAATAGTGTCTAAGGTTTATCTGAGACTGCTTCATTACACACACACACACACACACACACACACACACACAAGATCTGTGAGAAAAGATTGATATGGGTCTCAGGACATTAGTGTTTTGTTGTTCTCAGTGTTATGATTGTCATAGATTGCAAATGTATTGAGTTGCTTTTGAAATGAAATTGGTAAATCATCCTTTTTCTATACTAATATCTGTGAAACTGATAATAGTCAATGGCTCCTGCATTTAGAATTGTGAATTTATGGCTGATCAATTAGCTGTCGAATATTTAGCCCTTGTTTGAGCTCCATTTTTTTCCATCAAAATATATTTTTCAACAGTGATTTGACCCTACTTCAACCACACATTCTTCAATAAAATAATATTACACACAAATCCAAAATTTTTAATTATTTTTCTAACCACACATTTTCCATCAATATACTATTTAAAAATGCATTTTTTGACAAGAATGGGGCTCGAACAAGGGCATAGTATTGGAACTAGTGTGTTGAACCACTTGATCTAAAACTAAGCTATTAAACAAGGCTACACATATATCTTTTAAAACTTATTTTCAACATGTCTCTTTAGGTATAGACGGGATACTATTTTTTGTGACTAAAGACTAACACGTTAAAGGTTTTTAATAAATAGTTGAACTCGAGACTTGAATTTAGAACTTTTGCTTGCCCTGAAATCATGTTGAACCACTTGATCTAAAAGTTTAAGCTATTAGATAAGGCTCCATGTATATCATTTAAATTCCTATCTTCAACATAGTGACATGGCATAAAGTGAAAATTTTGGTGTTGGATATTGATGAGGCACCACGAAGAACTAAAATTGATTATATCAGTAATTTGTTGTAAGATCATGCAGAGTTAATATATTGAAGGCAACAGTGCTGCTTTACTAAAAAAAAAAAAAGCAAAAAAGGGAATAAAGAATAGATTTTTGTTCTCTCATCTTTCCTTTCATCCACTGCTATTCTTTTCATCCTATTTATTCTATACCTCAACAAACACTAACTACTGAATTTCATTATTTTCATCTTTTGCAATTTGTACCTCTCTTTAAATTTGGCTCCACTTCACATTAACTTAAATGAAATCTTGGCATTTTAACACATTGTTGCTAAACTTATTTATAATAATCGAAGGTTGGAACTGCTGTTGTCACTCGAGTTGATGGGAGATTAGCACTTGGAAGGTTAGGAGCACTCTGTGAGCAGGTGACTAGGACTCGGATGTTTATGGATTTATGCCTAACTTTGATTTCTTATTGGAGTTAATGCTTTAATTGGGACTTCTTACATTGTTAAACTGCAACTGAAATGCAGATTCTAGAACTGAACAATCAGGGATATGAGGTTATTTTGGTGACATCAGGAGCAGTTGGTGTTGGTCGTCAACGGCTTCGATATAGGAGATTGATTAACAGCAGGTTTCTGAACTGCTAGTGCTGACTTTTGGAGTTTGGTTTGGTCAAAATGGGAAACACGATGGACTCTTTTGCCTTTTAATTTACCAGAAGACAAATATATAACTAAGATTTCTAATGGATACTAAAGATGGAACCCATTATATTAAATTTCAGGCATTTGCAAGAAAATACTTATTTAGAAAATGACTGTAAACCTTAACTAGATAGTGTAAGGTGCTCTTTTCTTTTTCCCCAGTTGAGAGCCACTAATATTAGGTGACTTCTGGGTATTCACAGCTTTGCTGATCTCCAAAAACCCCAACTCGAACTTGATGGGAAAGCTTGTGCAGCTGTTGGACAAAATGGTCTCATGGCTGTCTATGATATTTTGTTTAGTCAGGTGAAATCATTTAATATGTTGTTTTGGCTGTCTGTCTTGCCTTATGCTATCTAAAAAAATAACCTTAGATGGTTAGGTGCTATTTTAATCACATTTCTTTGGATCTTGAAAGTTCTGTTTTTCTTCAGTTGGATGTGACATCAGCACAGCTTCTCGTGACTGATAATGATTTTAGGGATCCAAATTTCAGAAGACAACTCAATGACACTGTAGAGTCTTTGTTGTCTCTGAAGGTTGTTCCTATATTTAATGAAAATGATGCAGTCAGTACAAGGAAAGCTCCCTATGAGGTATGCTTGTATGAATTGTTGCTCATTGTATCTTATTGCTTTCATTATTGAATCAACAGTATAATTAGGTACATATGCTGTATACACCCACCCTTTTGATGCTCACTAGTCAAAATGTGGGCAGGTGAGGGCTGTCAGCATCCTGTATTATATGTTTTTAGTCACCTCAATTTGACAGCAGCAGAGCTCATTCCTATTTCTAATATGCCACTATTCTGTAGGACTCTTCCGGAATATTTTGGGATAACGACAGTTTAGCTTCTCTACTAGCGCTGGAGCTAAAAGCTGACCTCCTCGTTCTGTTGAGTGATGTAGATGGTCTTTATAGTGGGCCTCCAAGTGATCCACATTCAAAGCTAATTCATACATACATTAAGGAGAGGCATGAGGGCTTAATTACTTTTGGAGACAAATCTCGGGTTGGAAGAGGGGGTATGACTGCCAAAGTAAAAGCTGCAGTTCATGCTGCTCATGCTGGTGTCCCTGTTATTATCGCCAGGTAAAATGCATTCCTTCATAGAAATGTTTCAATTTTGAATCAAAACATGCACCAAATTTTCTTATTTTCCATGCTAGAGACTAAAGTAGAGTGATGCTTGCATTTGTTTTACTTCCTGAAAGTGGTTTTTTCATTCTTACTTTCTATTAAAACAACATAGTTTTATCTAAGGAGGAAACTAAATCTCACGTTATGGAACTAAAAAGAAAAGTGAAAGAATAATAATCACATAAGTAGGAGACTTAATTTCTTGATATTCTTCGATATATAAATCACAGAAATCCGGAAATTAAATGATATGCTTAATCATTCAATCACCAAGATGGGGGTATTAATTCCCATATAGTCTTTACTCTAATTCTTCAGTTGTCAGGGAAATAGTTCCATATCAATCATATCTGTCAACGCAATGAATTTTGTAACACTCCGAAATCTATTTCATTTTTTTATGAAAAATAGACTTGAAGTGTTACCAAGAATCTTCATTAACTAATTTAAGCGGAAATTCACCTCTTTTTTTTTTTTTTTAGATTTGATTGGTCAATCGCTAATGATAAACTAACAATTTAAGAAAAAATTTCATATTAAATAAAAATCTTGAAATGTTAAGATCTCAAACCATCAATTTAAATCTAATATAGAACGTTAAATGTTCGAACTTCGAACACTAAAAAAATATTAAATAACATGCATAAATTTAACATAAAAATGTTCTTTAAATAAAAAAATTTCAATTCATCATTTCTAGAAATTTTACTTGGCGGTCATGAGCATTACTCAATCAATCAGCCATGCGGCCATATGAGCCGTTTTAATTTGAAAAGTTATTGTAAGAGTGAATATTTTGAAAACAATTAGTAAAAATATGTGTATATTCTTGTTAATATGATATAAATATAAAATGACATAACATACTTACATTTCTTAAATTTAGAGCAAATTTGATGCAATGTCCTATAGCTCAAGGAATTTCTTAAGAATTGCTGTATTCCGTGGGATTTATATAATTGACCAAACGGTCTATCCGTAAGATTTAACATTGAAATTAACCCGAAGGCCTTATAGTATTTCATGCTAAAATTTATATAAATACCAAGAAATAAGAATTTACCACTTTGCACTATGTATTTTTACCTCAATTGATATAAAAAATTTTGAAAATATTCTTTGAGACAATAATTAAAACTGGACAGAATGTTTCTATCTTCTCACATATTTTATATATATAATATCCACTTGTGTTAGTTTTATGCTTGCCAAATTAACTATCAATTCAAAACGTCCAAACATTAGGTTTGAAAATTCAATAGGTTAAATAAATTTATTCTTTATTTCAAATCAGTCATGGTGGATGGTTAAGTGTGGGAATTAATATTCCAATCAATCATGGGGACGGTTGAGTATGGGAATTAAAAAGGTTAATTACATAAATTTATTGTATAAATTAATGAATGATTTATGTTTTCAAATTCCAAGAAAGACGTGCATGAAGTGATATTACATTTATATATATATAACTAAGTATGACTATTCCAAATTTATTTCTTCTTGAGACAATTCATGTTATTTAATACCAGCTACAAAATGAGTATAATATGGATGTATATATTCTCTCAATTTTTATGATACTTAAATATTCGACCCAAATATAATATACGATAAATTTTATAAAATACACATAAGAAATAGGCTTATCACTTTAACTTTTGGACTTTGGTTTGATGACAAAGCTAGACACGGACTATTCCACTTACTAAATGACCAACATTAAATTTAGGCTCATGTGAACAGTAAATAAAAATTCGGGGTGTTACAAAAACAGAATTGTTTACTAGTGGTTTTTTTAGATTCTTCTGATGTCAAACACTTTTCTCTTTTGTAGTAGATGGAAAGACCATAAAGTGTTATGAGTAGATGACATTGCTGGATGAAAATGTTCTGAGGGTCAACTTCAGGAAATACTGACAGTGGTATTAATCAATCATGTTTTTTATGTGTGGAAACATGGAAAAATAACAGTGCTAATAACTGAAACCATTTTTTGACTATTATGTACCATTGAATTTTGAGGAAGAATGTTTTCCCCAATTCAGTTGCAACATATGCTGCAAATGATTCTAGTTTTTAGTTTCTAGTCCTTGCAATTTGTATGAGGTAGTTTGCAGATCTTTTAATCAGGAATTGATAAACTGGATGCATTAAGGTATATTGAAAATTGAAAAGAGCCGCTTGTAAGCGTGCTGATGAAGATAGCTGCTTATAAACCTGATATAGAGGAAGCTCCTTATAAACTTTCTAGATGGACGGATTAAAGAATTTTTCTGTATTCCATAATAGATCATTATCATGGTGGATGCCTTATATTCGGTTTTGTACTTTGATACATACTGTGCAACACCAATAGTGTATTCATGATACAGAGTAATGTCTCATGAAAGTGTTTCTCATTTTCTTTGTTTGTTAGGATGATAGGAAATAGCTTAGGACATATCTAATTATCACGTTTTCTAGAAATTATTTCGACCATATTTGTGTAACTAGTTTCAGAAATTACAAAGCCATCTGGAACTAGCCATATTTGTTATAACTTGTTCATATCCATGAAGAAACATCTAAGATGATGGATTCTATATATTTAACAAATTCAAATATTTTAGCTAAAAGAAGAAATTGATTCTTGTTTTTGCTAATGGAAGATGGTTACATTGCATGGCTGTTTTTACTAATCATTATCTAGTCTTCACGTCATTTTGTAGGGAAGCCATATGGGACTAGCTATATTTGTTCGAACTTGTACTGTTGTCCATACCATAAAGAAAGATCTAAGATGTGATCTATATATCTATCAAATTCAATATTTTTAGCTAAAAAACGAAATGAATTCTTGTTTTTGCTAAGTGAAGATGGTTACACTGCATAGCTGTTTTAAGGTTACTAAAACTATCGCCTAATTGAATGTCAATTGAGCTGTAACTATTCCCACTCTGGGTAACCATGTCAAGACAAAACATTAGTGTCAACAAATGATAAATAATTAAAATTTGAACTCTGCTGATAAGTATTCAATTTAATTAGCTGGATAGCGGTGGAAATTTCTTTGGAATTTATGTTTCTTGCATCAATTGATTGATGTAGGGAACTGAAATGGCTTCACAACTGGATTGGTCATGTTATGATGTTCTGTTATTAGTTTGGATCAGAAAACATAGCACTGTAATTAGAGCTTAAGAAGAGGAGTTTAAACAACCTCAACCAGGTTCAATCTCTGACAGGAAAACGGCTTTTAACATGTGTTATAGCCTTAAAGGAGAAGAACTAACATTATCATTTTTGCTGCTCAAGAATCTATTGACATTCTATAATTAATAAAGACTTGTTTCATTATCATTTAGGATTCCAATATTCTCCATTAAGCATATTATGAGCATTAAGAAAAGTCACCCTAAAACTACCTTGGGAAACTAAAAATATTTCAATCATGATATCTCCTCTTGGCTTCTTGACTCTTGTCTTATCCATGATAAAAGCACTATGTTTATGATGTAAAGCCTTGCTTGTGTACATCTTTATGTCTAGATATGACAATTTGAATTACACCTAAGCCTTATTTTTATAATAAAGGCATCATCATTGCGCCTGCACTATGATTTGTTGATTTCTACTTTTTATTAATCCTTTTCTAATTGATGACTATACTTCCTCCTTTTCTCCATGGGTGAAGTGGCTTCTTGGGTGACAGTATTCTTAAAGTACTTAACGGGAATAATATTGGTACTCTTTTTCATCGGGAGGCTAATGAATGGGTCCCGCTCACAGAAGTTGGAGCACGTGAGATGGCAGTTGAAGCTAGGGAAAGTTCCAGAAGACTGCAGGCAAATATAATTAACTGGCAATTTGGTTACTAATTCTTGTGAAAAGAGATGTTCATAATTTTATTAGTACTTTTACCTGCAGGCTATGTCTTCACAAGAAAGGAGTAAAGTTTTGCTGAATATAGCTGATGCTTTGGAGGCAAGTGAAAAGCTGATAATTGCTGAAAATGAAGCTGATATTGCTGAGGCACAGCTGGCAGGATATGAGAAGTCTTTAGTTTCTAGGCTGGCCTTGAAGTCTGGTAAGGTAAAACGCAGTTTTGCTACTTTAAAGCACGTAAAAATTAGAGATCAGATGATCCCTGAATGATTTCGTCAAACTGCATCTTCTGGTTGGACAATTTTTTCATTACAGAAAACAAAATTGGATATATACCGAGTTAAGTTGTTTTTCAGAACTTTGCCTCACTTTGATCACTCCATATTGTTTATAGGTTTCAAGTCTAGCAAAGTCTATTCGCATTCTTGCAGATATGGAGGAGCCAACTGGGCAAGTTTTGAAGAGAACAGAGGTACGGAAATGTGGTTTCTAGGTTCTGATGCAGGCTTGAACAATTTTAACTAGTCTAGTTACTTAACATTGAAAATAACTATTAGTATATAGAAACATGCTTTATTTTACTATGTCATAATCTTTCTGATGATTGTTTCTATATCCAGCTTTCACAAGGATTTATCTTGGAGAAAATGTCTTCTCCTTTGGGTGTTCTTTTGATTATTTTTGAATCTCGGCCTGATGCACTAGTGCAGGTATATTGCAGTGGCATTCTCTCCATCAGAAATTTCTTAGGAGATGATTTATTAGGTTCTTGCATGTAAAACATTATACTATTTTGATATTTCAAAAGATTTGTGTATTATGCGTGGAAATCTCATATTGTAACTTTGCCTGGTTTTCTGTGTTCGGTTTAGATGGCTTTCCATTTCATGTTTGATGTACAGAGACTGTAAGTTTCATATTTTAGCTTAGAGCAATAAATGATCGGTAAACTTGACCCTCAGTTGTTTCCAACAATAATATACAATTGGTTTTTAATTATTCTTACATTTGTTGTTGATTTTCCTTTCCTCCTTCCTATGTGTACATATAATGTTGTTTGCAGATGTCCAAAATAATAATTAAAAAAATAGAGAAACCGTAGACGTGGCATTTTTGGTACATCAATCAGTGTGCTGATACNTTGCAGATGTCCAAAATAATAATTAAAAAAATAGAGAAACCGTAGACGTGGCATTTTTGGTACATCAATCAGTGTGCTGATACGGAATTTTATCATTATATTTATTCTTAATTATCTTAAGAGCATAACTATTATAAGAAACTTGAATAAACTACTATATTAGAGTTAATTAAGCTACAGGCATAGACAAATATTTAGTAATTTGTTTCTTTAACCATACAAGCTGATGGTCTTTCTTTCTTTCAAATAGATAGCTTCATTAGCAATTAGGAGTGGAAATGGGCTTCTATTGAAAGGAGGCAAGGAAGCCAAGCGCTCAAATGCTATCTTGCATAAGGTTTGATCTTATGTATACCATTTCAAAGGTCATTTTGACCTAAAACTCAATCCTTATTTTGTCATATATAATTTCTGCCTGCTTCTAAATTTGTTACTTCATTTCCTATTACTTTAGGTAATCACTTCAGCTATCCCCGAAAATGTTGGTGAAGGACTTATTGGACTTGTAGCCTCCAGAGAAGATATTCCTGAATTGCTCAAGGTAGCTTGATTAAGAATTTTGGTTAATAACTCTAAATTCTTTCAGTTTATCGATTACAAATCTTCTGAAATATGAACTAGAACTGAATATTAATGTGTCTCTTGCAGCTGGATGATGTAATCGATCTTGTAATTCCTAGAGGAGGCAATAAACTTGTTTCTAAAATCAAAGCTTCTACTAAGATTCCAGTTCTTGGTCACTCTGGTAACATATATCTCATTTTGAATTAGTATATTATCTTTTGATAGCATATGCTTTTATGTTGGAAGGAACACTTTTCATGCGATGGTTGATGTTGATATAGATCTGTTTTTTGCTTTCCAGATGGAATTTGTCACATCTATGTAGATAAGTCTGCTGATATGGTTAAGGCAAAGCACATTGTTTTGGACTCAAAAACAGATTATCCTGCAGCCTGCAATGCCATGGTATCATTTCCATTGATACTATACGCCTTTGTAAATCATATTTTATAGTATGTTAGTATATCTTTAGCTCGTTGCTCTTGTTATTTTTAGGAAACACTTCTTGTGCATACTGAGTTGGTGAATACTGGTGGCCTTAATGAGCTTATTGTGGAACTTCAAATCAAAGGTTGTTATTTCCTTGATATCCATCTTGTTAATTGCTCATATTCTAAGTATAAATATTTTGGGTAAATTCAAAAAATACAGTTACAAGCTTATAGAGAATTTAATTCTAGAGTATCATTAAGGAATGAATAAATACATTGTGCAATTACACATTCAATAATCCATGTCAATTAATTATGTTGTTGAGAAATAAATCCTACTGTCCCCTTTGGGTTAAATATATACTGCATTTTTCTGCATTGCCAATTTTAAGATCACAATTATTCTGTTCAGTTATCGCTGGCTATTAGTTTGAGGAATAAGTATAAAAATTGGCATCTGGAGGGATTATTTTGCCCTAAAAAAGCTTGGAGATCTGGAAATTAGTATAATTATGTGCATTTGTTTCAGGGGTTACAATATATGGTGGATCTCGGGCGAGCTCTATGCTGAATCTTCCAGAGGCATCTTCATTTCACCATGAATATAGTTCTTTGGCTTGCACTATTGAAGTTGTGGATGATGTGTATGCTGCCATTGATCATATACATCAGTATGGAAGGCATGTTAGCTTTACAAAATTCTTTGCATGTCATGTTCATTTGTGCCTTTATACAAATGCTGCTTGCAAGTGGTTGTTATGACTTATGAGGATGATTCACATAAAGTAATCAACGTTCTCTTTTAATGGCAGTGGGCATACTGATTGCATAATCACTGAGGACCATGACATTGCGGAAATGTTTTTACATCAAGTAGACAGGTATTTTTCCTCTTGCTTGTCTATAACTTATTAGGGTGAAATACTGTGGAGCCCCAATTTTTTTTTTTTTTTTTAATCTGAAATGTCCAGTATATATTTTGACTATCTGAAAATCAAATATGGGAAATTTCATCTAATATATCCTATCTATTAATTCATCAAGGATTCTTATAAAAAGTTATGGCCATGTGGACTTAAATGACCTTCAATTCAAGTATGATGAACTGCAGTTGAAAAGGACAACCATTCCTATCTGTCTTGGCTATATACCTTCCATCATTCTGGGCTTTTGAATCACTTCTCTTGCACTATTTTATGCTATTTGATTTGAAAGGTTAAGAAGTGAAGACAAACACTCATGACCTTCAATTCAAGTATGACGAAATGCAGTTGAAAAGTAAAACCGTTCATGTCTGTCTTGGCTATATACCTTCCATCATTCTGGGCTTTTGATTGGATTTCTCTTGTACTATTTTATGCTATTTGATGTAAAAAGTTAAGAAGTGAAGACAAACACACTAACAAATTGTCAATTTCTCAGACTACCAATTTGGATTAAAAATAAATAAAAAACGACCAAAAACTCTCAATTGTGTAAATTATTTAATTAAAAAAATCCAAAATGATATTCCCAGCTGCTGACATTCTCTCCGGTTTGATGAAGATTTTCCCTGAATCTTGTGGTGAGTTTATTTGACCAATTAATCTGCACTGTTTCATTATAAATCTCTAGGTCTTCGAACAATTAATTTTCATGCCTTTTCCCCTTAGCTTCCTTACTTATTTTCTCTACTTTGACGCTATTTTATGTAATCAAAATATTCAAAGTTTTGTTGCCAGCTAAGTCGAGCATTTATGTTACAAATAACACTGTTTTCTACTACAAGCATTGTTTGGAGCATCAAAAGTAGATTCAATAAATGGTAGGTCAGAAATTTGGCCGCCTCAAATTTTAAGGTGGCAGGTTTATCAAGTTAATGAAACAACATACCCCTCGAAACTTATACCTGAACAATATGCTTGAGACATTTTCCTAACAGAAAGCCAAGGGATCCCTCCACCCCTTACGGTTGACCTATGGTAATCAATCTCAATTTTTATCATTGAAGAGAGAAGTCCTTAAATTCACATCAGAACAATCAAAATATTTCCTGAAACATTTAATAAATAAGAGAACTGCTGAATTCCTAAGCTGTTGTATTCTATATGTTGGATGCGTCTGTCCATTTAAAGGGATATTTTTGTCCAAAAAGTGACATCTTGTTAAATTGTTGATTAGTTTTAAAACTTCTGTCATGCTATTTTCATTTTAAGTTCCTTAAAATTGTCTTGAGTTTTTTTTTTTTTATAGATACAAAAATTATGGGCTTCTTAGTATTTTCCTTGGTGTTATTAGAATTTAGATTATGAAACATTATGTGTAATATATTTTTTACTTCTAAAAAATAAGAGGTGAATATAGTGATACCATAGCCTCTTGAAAAACTTAACATCATTTTTTACACCTGCAGTGCTGCTGTTTTTCACAATGCAAGTACAAGATTTTGTGATGGCTTTCGTTTTGGACTTGGGGCAGAGGTATGCCTTTTACCATTTTTGTTAGCATGATAAGTTGTTTGTAAATTTTGTCCTATCATATATTTTTCTGTTTCTGAAAAGGTTGGGATCAGCACAAGTCGAATTCATGCTCGTGGACCAGTTGGTGTTGAAGGATTGCTAACGACNTTTTCTGTTTCTGAAAAGGTTGGGATCAGCACAAGTCGAATTCATGCTCGTGGACCAGTTGGTGTTGAAGGATTGCTAACGACACGATGGTATGCTGCAATATCTCTTTTCATAAATTCACGCTTTTCTGTCTGATATTTACTTTTTAATGTAACATATATATATATGAGATAACATCATGACTAGCACAAACTAATGAATACTTTGCAAACTAATGCACGCTTGGTTAGTTTTCAATGGATAAAGATGGCTGAGGAATTCGACTTCAGATATGTTTTATGCATTTACGTTTTCTTGGATGTAGTTTCCATTTAGGTAACAATATGGAGCATGGTATTCTTGTGTCTGTCTAGATGACAATATGAAACACGGTATACTTGCATATGTGTGCATGTATCTTTGGGTTATACCAATTTGGTTCACAATTTAACTAGTTTACTTGAAATTTGTCAGCATGATTAACCACTGCATTGCTGTTATTGCATAGGATTGCGAGAGGAAGTGGACAAGTGGTGGATGGTGATCACGGAGTTGTTTATACTCACAAGTCCCTAACTCAGGATTGAGACATTGCAATTGATCGGTGCATGTTTGGTAAGCAATATTAGATAGTACAGTCAAAGTATTATCTAATCTCCTTTACGAAATATGCCGCGAAAGTGTTCAGCAGTTTATGTTCTCCAGGTTGTCGTGTGATATATTCACATTAATGTTCAATTACTCTCAAAGCAAGGTGGTTGTTGGTTCTTTTCGGCTCTTAAAACTAAAGGAGGAATGAACCAGCCCCAGTTAGAGTTGTCAATGGATCGGATATGGAGCGGATCTGTTCAAATCCAATCCAATCCGATAATCCAACGGATATTTGATTGTTAAATCTATATTCGATTTGCTATGTTATCGGATATCCGATCCGAAAATCCGATCCGAATTTTTTTCAAAAAAAAATATTTTAACTATCTTGATGGGCTCACCTAATATACTAGAAGGTCCAAATAAATTTTTTATCCAAGTGATGCTCATTTAGTTCCTTTTAAAGAAGATTTCTCTTGAAATGTTTTAATAATCTTTCTATGTGGGAGACTACATTTTTAAAGGGTACTTCTCTTCTAATGTTTTAGGGTCTTTCAATATGGAATACTACTCAATTGTCAATTCTAAGTGTTTACTAGTTTATTTTATTATTTCACTAAAAATCATAGCCTTAACAAAATTAAAATAAAAAACATCAATTTTAACAAAGTAAATTATTTTTTGACATATTAATTATTAGTTTTTGATGTTATAAAACAAATTACTATAGTTATTTTTATCTTATTTTAATTGATAAAAAATTAAATCTCTTTGAATATTTCAAGTAAAAATATTATACTATTATCTAATATTACTTATTATTTGAAAATTATGCGTAAAGCATAATATAAGTTTCAAAATAGAAAAAATTATGTTTAATAAATTATGATATAATATATAAAATATGTTATATTATTATAATAAATCGGGTCGGATTGGATCGACATATATTCATATTTGCTCCATTTAGTTAACGGATTATCGAATTCGGATCTTAATCGGATTATGAGATTGAAACTTTAAATCCATCTCTCGTTAATTTCATCGGATTCGGATCAAAATTCAATCCATTGACAGCCCTAGTCCCGGTACACTCGTATTAACTAAAGACAAACTTGACGTCAATTCATTATATTTAGTAGGTTCGTAAATTGCAAAGTTCCGTTGCTAACAGGAGCAAAATATTAAAGTTAGTCCTGTTCAACGGTTAGTTTTGATATTCTAGTTTTATGTCCCCAACATATAAGAGATTTTGGCTAACATCGAGATTTGATGGTCATCACAAGTTTTGTTAGGATTATCAATCTTTATAGTCGCTTCAATTTCTTGCTTTCTTTGAAGGTGGTGACATAATTGGTGAAGCTTCGCTTGATAGTTCATTGGCCATTTATTGCTTTTGCTAGAGAGAATTATCGAGGATAATTTTTTATATTCGAAGGTATTGTTGGGAAGAAATAATAAAGTTTTTCAGACATAAATGTAATAGAATAATATAATTCGAAATATATAACTACAGTAGAGGCACATGGTTAGAATAATAGTTTAACTTTGTAGAAATTAATTAGAGTATTATGTAATATGAGAGAGTTATTAATAGAAACTTTCATATAAAAAATCTTATTCATTTGGCAATCAATCAAATACTACTAGCTAAGATAAATCTGGACCGCTTATAAAACTTGAATTCACGATATATAATGGTTTATATACACATAATATGATGAGATATGATTGGATCATAATTTTTTTAACCAAAAAAATTTCTCCACCTTGTTTTTGACTTATCATATGTATATAAATCACTATGTAACTTCATTATTACATGTAGCATTATTTATATACAATTATGTTACATGTACTTTGACATCTTTATTTACATTGTGCTATATGATAATACATAACAAACATACTTTCCCGCCCACAACTCTTTGAACTGTAATGGGATGTGTACACTTAGCATTATTCTTACTTTAAAATAGAGCAGTCTCAAAATTATAATATATGTTAGAAGTATCTTAAAATTCAATATGACTCATTTATAATATATAAGTTATTATTATTTATCTATTGGTCATCTTCATTTTGTTTCTATATGTTCAATTATTATCACCAAAATAAACAAATAATCTCAATCTTGTAAAATTGGAGTTATTTGAAGATCCCAATTAGCAAACTTCACGCCCCTAAAATTATTGTAAAATTCAATTTTGAATCTCATCTCCATAAATTTTATAAATCATCCAACTCAACTCTTAACACAAATAATTTGCCATGAAAGTAAAGTGTAACTAAGCTTGAGGTAGCATTTGCCTTAGAACTACATAATTTTTTTTTTGAAAGATTAAAATGTTGCGGGGCTATCGCATCCTACCCAATTGTTGAATATTTAGACTAATTCTTGTTATTTTATTCCTCGTGATAGAATAAAGTCGTCCACATAGTCGCATCTTTTAAGTTGTTAGATTCAATGTTAAACAATGGATAAGTTCTATTCCTCGCTTTGTTTCGATCTCATTTTGTGGTGACATTAGTATAATTTGACGGAAAATTATATATACACAGCCATTTTGTACTTGATCGAATTGGACCGCACTGATTGATCATATTCAATTTTCAGTTTTAACAACTAAAAAAAAAAAAAAAAATCCAATTTACCCCATCTTCCAAAATAGTGAAATATAACTAAACAGAAAACAACTTATTAGTTCAACTAGGAAAGCGAAGCGACTACGGCTAGCACATGAAAGTGCAATCTTGATGCCAGTAATTCTCCTTTATCAGTATAATTTGGCATATAGCTCAAATTACAAAACAATTATTCAATAAATCGTCTTTCATACAAAGGATAAGGGAGGATCCCTATCAGAAATTAATGGTAGAGACCAAAAAGAAGTTTAATTAGTTATTTGCATGATTATTTTTTAAGAATAATGCTATTTGCAGTCGTTTACTGTAGTAGTCACCTTATGTGGCATACATGTTGACGATTAGTTATTTAATACATTAATATGCTAATTTTTTATTATTTTATGCAACAAATCACTAATCGTCACATGTATGTCATGTAGGACAACTGCAAATAGCATTATTCATTATTTAAAGAAGAGCAGTGACCCCTTAAAGAATGTGACGTGGCGGTGGAGCAATCAGTACCTAAGGGTGGACTGCAGCTTGGAGGGCGGTGGTTAGGCGATATGTTTCTACTTATTATTTAAATTTTTATTTTATTTTACTAAAACTTTTATCTTCTAATAAATATTAGACTTCTTAATGATCAAAGAAAAATAAGACTATGGAGGAAAAGACCCAATTATGTCATCAAACGAAAGACAAAATAGTGGGGTATGAGAGTTTGAATACTGAAATCAAGTCCTTGCATCGACTGGTGTATCTTAAATAGTTGCGCAAAGGAAACCAGATGGATGTGAGGCAAGAGTTACCTGTTGAACTGTCATCTTTATTGGCCCACACTATGCCAGTCGAAGCCTTTAGCGATGATCAAGGCATTCATCCATCGAATTAGGGCTTGATTCGATCAATTTTTCACAATTTTTTGTTGTTTGATTGCAAAAATGTTCTCGATCACATGACCCATTTTCCTTCTTTTTGTGGAAAACCAATTCTCTTGATTTTGACGGGAATTAGGTTTCCAAATTTCAACTCTTTTTTTTTTTTTTTTAACAATGAAAACAAATTTTATCTACAGTTGTAATAAATTTTATTCCTCTAATAGATAATTTTCATGAAAAATAAAGTCAAACGAACACCAAAAGATTTAAAATTTCAATTTTTTTCAATCGAAAAATTATACCAATCAAACACATTTAATTGACAATTCCCAGTAAAACAAGTTTTGGACAATTTAATTCCATAAAATTCATTTCTTTCCACCCAAATCTCATTCTTGCAATCAAACAAACCCTTATTGAATTTCCAATCGACCACATTGAAAATCCAACAGCTACAAAATTGAAGTGTCATAAATCCTCTTATTTCAAATGAAAGCTGACCACTCTTCTGCCTGAGAGAGAAGCTTCAGCCATAATTTTTCAAGTAAAACTGGTAATCAACTTGGAAATAGATATTTTACGAATCCACCATCCAAAACATGACAATGAATCCGTATAGCAAACTGCACCTAAATGCTCTTTAGCTACTAACATCAATGTATTGGGTATTACAGAACAGACGAGCATTGCCAAATCATTCAGGCAAATGAATAAAGTTCTCCGAATGCAGAATCATATAAATAGTAGATAACATAATTAAACTAGTTTATGAAAACAGTTGCACCAAAATTGTCTAAATGTTTGCTGTTCACGCCTCGACGAACTTTTTGAGGTTCTTTAGCCAAGTTACGTATTCTTTGCTGTCTTTGCCAATCATGTACTCATGCAAGAAATTGGTTGTGCTGGGCTTGATTCCTCTTATCTCTAGATACTTGTGAAAAGCCTTCTGCAGATTTTCATCCAAGTCCCTGAGAGAGAGAAAAAGACACAATTTGCACGTTAGTTTGAAGAGAAAAACAGAGTACTCAGAGATATAACATAAACTGGATACACAGACAAAGATATTTAGATACTAACGTGAAATCAGGTCCTTCATATGCTATTTGATCTTCCGAGCTGTCGGGGCCCTTGACAGACAAGCTGTCGATTGCAATCTCATCAGGGTAAGCTGTACATCCAAACTCTAAACAAGGTCCATTCTTCTTGGAAACTCTGACGACAAGAGGTATACTCGATTGAGGGCCTCTTTCTTCATCGTTATTGTCGTTGTCATCATCGTTCTCCTCACCAGTTACAAGGTCAGGCATGTGAACTTCTACACTGATAGTTTCACCCTGATACTCTCTAGTTAGAGTTATGGTTTGTTGTCCAGGATGGTCTTCAATTGCAAAAGGAAAACCCTTGGGCACCTCCACAACCTATAGGACAAATCATTATTACCCATAATAGAGTTTGGACACATGATCAATGAAAAAGTATTGGTATATACACGAATGATGTTAGAAACGCTTCAAGAGGCATAACAGATAATGAATAATAATGAACTACAATAAAACTACAAAATGCCAAGTTAAGAAACAGAAATCTAATTGATGCACAAAATCAATAACCTTTACTTTTCTTAAAATAATAATGAACTACAATAAAACTACAAAATGCCAAGTTAAGAAACAGAAATCTAATTGATGCACAAAATCAATAACCTTTAGTTTCCATTTAAGAAAACGAAAGGAATGCAGCAGAGATAATAGAATTATATCATGCTAGCAGAATAAATTTCCCAAACACAATTAGAGAAACTATAAAGAATAAAATATCAAAATAAATTGCAGAATATCATTTCTTTCATTTTCCAACACTTTCTAGCAAAAGTCAGCAACCCGCGCTCTAATTTAACATCATGTTACCAAAATCGTACATACAAAATTATAATACAAAAATAATAAAATATCTCCCAATATGACCAAACAACAAATATATCCCATATTTATTAATAAATGTTCATTATATATTAATCCGTGTACACAGAAATTAAAAAACCAATACTGCACTCTATTATACAAAATTCGCAAGTCATTCGAAACCACTTTCCAAACTTCAGCATCAACTGAAAAACTAAAGATCAAATAGAATTTCAAGAAAAATCTTCAGTCCCTCATTTTCTAGCAATATACACGTAACAAAGACAAGTTATTTACATAAAAATGTTAAATAAATAAAAGAAATAAAACCTCGTCATTATCCTCGGACTCCTGGGCACACTGAATCTCGGACTCGATGACTCGGAGGAGTGACTCATCGGAACTCGGCCTTTTAGTGGAATAGTGATGAACGGAAACCGAAAACGATCTCGGGAACAACTTCCGCGAAAGATCGCCGTGGGTTTTCACAGCGTTAAAGAGGGCAGAGCAGTGGTGGTACCTTTGACTTCCAGATGAAGCCCGGATGGCCAAAGGTACAACGCGTGAAGCTGTCCTCCGGATTGTGTTAGCGAGTGCCATTTTTGTTGAGTGAGATTGAGGTCTTTGAGGGTTTGAAATGAAAACGGGGGTTTGCGAAAGAGGAGGCTTCTGCTATTTTAGGGTTTAGGGTTTTAGAAGGGGCTTTTAAATGATTAGCTGCCAAACTGGCAGCTAAAATAAAACAGGCAGCAAGAGGTATGTAGAAAAAAAAATAAAAAATTTCAGAAATCGAACTCGGCTCGGTTCGGGATTGGGTCGAACCTTAATTTTCAGACCGAGCCTTTGCTCAGCCCGGCTCGGACCAAAAAAAGCACATCTAAGAAAATCTCGAGCTGAGCTCGAGCCAAATTTTTTGGTGGGCAGACTCGACACGACTCGTTGACATTCTAAATGAGGTATTAATTTCACAAATGTTATTATTATTATGATTTTAGTCTATTTTTATCATGGAAATTCATTTAACATCACATTTAATTTTTGAGGTGCATTTATTCTAGACTTCTAAAAACATTTTAGTTATGGATTTTTCTTAGGTTTTTATTGACTTTTATATATTTATATATATATGAAATTAATGAAAAAAATTCATAGACTTCCTCATACTCTTATTTTATTTTTATAAAATTCATTTGACTTTTGAAAACTTTATCATTTACACTAGTGCATGAAAGAATTTTGGCAACAAGACATTTGAAACTGAGAAGTTAATGCTGTATGTTAATTGTAATGTATAAAATAATTTTTTTGCTTTCTTACGATAAAATGGTTAATGGTGCTTAATAAAATTATCCAAAGAAAGAAGTTGTTTTTGAGTTTTACACTGGACTATCTTTCCAAACATGCTTATAAATCAAAAATCTTTATATCTGGAAGGACATCGATTCCTTCTTTTCTTAACTAGAAAAGCAATACGAGATTGGAATTGTAGATACTCGATTGTATGATAAGGAAACGAATAATAGTGAGGACCGACTCATTCTGGTAGTTGTTTAAGGGGGAAAAAAATCCACTAGAGTTTAAATTGATTAAGATTAAAAAAAAAAAATTTCCCTCTACCTGTCTGCTTACAATCTGATTTGACTCCAGTTTCTTTACTTGAGCAATCGAAAATTTACTTGACTTATTCTAATAGGTAAAGCACTACTTATTTGTAGATAAGACATTATCTAAGTTTATTGTTTTAAGCAAGTTACTGAGTTGTAAAGCTTGTCTTATAGCCCAGACATGAATGTACCGAATAGCTGATGATGCTCATCTAGCTTCTTGTTTATGTGCCAGTTTGAATGTAGAAATGATGATAGACTTTTCGTTTATTGTCATACCATATAATTAATTACCGGAGCACACAAGATCGAAATTGCCAACTCTTACACAAGGACGAATCCTTGCTAGGAGCACTGCTTATGGAGTTCTACGATTATTTATCTATAAAATCTTGGAAAATGCATGAAAATAGCCTATAGAAAATGGCCATTTTTCCAAAATGACCTTTGGTCAATTTACATCCCTAAAATACCCTTCATTTAGATATTACATAATGAGTCACTATAATATGGAAATTTTCTAATTTAGTCATAAAATTAAATATTACTTGGATTTTGATAGTTTTTTTTTAATTTTTGTTTTACTTGATTTTTTTTATTTATATGATTTTTGTTTGCTCTAAGTAGCCCCTCAATTGGTATCAGAGCCATAAAAATAATGAGAAAACCCATAACAAATAGATTACCTGAAGAAATAAAAATCTTTAGATTTAGGTTAACTCTTAAAATTTATATAAATTTAATAAATAATAGAAAGTTAAAAGAATATTTAGATTATACATCTTTTGAATAATAATTAATTATAATATACAAATTTTTATATTTACATCTTGATCAAAGCATAGAGATTATGGAAATTAAAGTAAGGAAAATAGATAATTATTGGCATTTAGAAGAAGAAAGAGGAAGTTATATATTTTTAAAACCTATTCATAATAAATTAAAAATAATGACACTAACAATAATTAAAGAATTACCTAAAAAAATAAAAGAACTAATATTAGAAAAATTAATAATAAAAACAATAAAGAAGATATGTACATATGAAAAAATTATTAATATATATAAAGATGAAGAAATTAATTTATATTACAAAGAGAAGTATGAGTGCAAGTGATAATACAAATTCAAAATTAAATAAATTACTTATAAAAATGGAAAAAAATACGAGATATAATGTTAATACTAGAAGGAATAAGAGTATCAAATAAAAGACAATTAATAAAATTAAAATGTGAAAGATTAAGATTTGAGAGTAAATATTTCAGTATAATAAAAGAAGAATTATTAGATCCAAATATAGCCAACAGATGATTTGAAAAAATAATAGATAAAAAAGAAGATAAAAAATGTAAATTAACTTTTATGTTAGAAAGATGATTTTAATATGTCAATAAGTGAATATATGGAAGAATTAAAGTTATTAATAAAAATGTTAATAAATGATATACAAGATTTAAGAAATGAAGTAAGAGAAACAAGAACGATATAAATATATTAAAAATTGAAATTAGAGAATTAAAAGAAAATAATAAAAAAAGAAAAGAAAATAGATAAAAAATTAATAGAAAAAGAAATGACTCGAATAGAAAATAAATATATTGAAAAAGAGAGTGTAATAATAGAAACAGGAAGTATGAATGATGAATTTAGAAAAAATATATTACCAACAATATTAGAAGAAGAATAATCTAGAGAAAAAATATTAGGAAAATTAAAAGTAGAAGATAAAGATGAATGAGGAATTAGACTTACTTATAGAAAATTCTGATCAATTAAGTTTAAGTGATATAAGTGAATACCAAATTTTAATGAATATTGGGGGAGAACCTAATCCCATAGGAACTTCTAAACAAGAATTATGAGATTTAGATGAAAGTTATGTACCTATATATAATTAACCATATAGACAATTTTATGATAAAGTAAGAGATAGACAATTACCTAAAGGAAATAAATATAGAGATAAATTTGAATTAAATGATAATTATGATAAACATATTAATCATGGAGGAACAAAATTAGATTTAAATTGCAAAATAGATACTAAAAAATTCTTATTAACTTGGACAAATTCAATGATATTATACTTTTATAAAATAAAGATGACACATGGAAAAATACTGAAAGAAGTATAGATTTCTTAATAGCATCCTTTGAAAAAGATGTTAGAAATTGATGGGAATGAATAAGTAATGATACAAAAATATTAATAAAAAGAAATGTACAAACTGAAATAATAAAATCAAATAGACAAGGTATAGAAAAGTTAGTAGAATATATTTCAGATGATTTTTTAGGAGAAAATTGAATAAGAAATGTTAAAAGAGAAGAAATAAGAGAAAAAGATAATGCTACAATTAAGCTAATAAATTTAACCATATATGATATATGTAAAATTAAAGAATATACTTGTGGATTTAGAAACTATTATTATGTTCAATTTTAGAGTAATGAAAATCAAGAAGTATACCAAGATATATACTATAATATATTACCAGGTTCGTAGGGAATATATTTTAAAATAGAGTTTGAAAAATATGTTAGAGACAATGTTGAAATATCTAGAACTTTAGGTTCAAGAATAAAATTTTTATTTAAAAGACTTCATATATATGTCAACAAAGACAATTAATGAAAAAATCAGGAAAACTAATTAGAATATGTTGTGAAAATATGAAAAATCCTATACAGTGGGGATGTAATCCTGAAAGAAGGGTTAATAAAAGAAAATATAAAAATAAAATATTTAAAAAGTTTAGAAATTTTAATAAAAAAAAATATAAATTTTAGAAGAAGATATTATAAAAGAAAAAATGGTAATAGGCACAAAACGTCTCTACCTTTAGAAGTTATTGTGGAAAACGTCTCTACCTTTCATTTTTTGGTATTTTTGCCCTTCTTTGAACATTTCGTTGCGCTAAAGGTCCTTTTCACTGTTTTGGAACGGAAAATGACAATTACACCCTCTTATTAAAAAAAATAACAAAGAAAAATTCAAAACAAATTGCAAACCTAACCCTAAATTTAAAAAAAAGCTCAAATGAGTCCCTAATATTTAAAACATTGAAAATAACAACAAAACGCTTTCTCTTCTCTTCCTCCCTCATCCAAGCCAAAAAATTCAGGTCAACCGCCATCCAAACCACCGGATCTCCATACCATTGAAAATCTCACTCCTCTCTACACATACGACCCGTGAATTCACAACAATTCACCGTTCTAATAATTTCCAAGTCGAATGGCTGTCTTTCAAACTATTTTTTAAGTCCAATTCTATCGCTCCAAAAATTTGAGATGATTCAGCACATGGGTTCTTCAAACTGGAATATGTCGGCAATGACTCCAAAATCGACAAGTTGTGGAGTTGCCATTAATGGCCAAATGAGTTTTGCCGAAGTTAATAGGCCTAGTTCCACAATGATTAATCAACAAAATTGCCTTGGTGCTGAATTCGGCCTGGAAAATCAACAAGTTTTTGGTGGTCTTCAAGAAATCAAGGCTGGAATTTCGAATCCGAGCTCTCTAGAATCCATTGATTGCTTGTTATCAGCAACCAACAGCAAAACAGAACATTAGTTGATTGGCTAAGATTTCCATGCTTTTCTCTGATTTCAAAGACTTATGGAATCCAAATTCAAGCGCCCTCATCAAATCAGACAGTACATCTGCATCCACTGTAAAACATTATACCAACAAAACAGTATCACGAGCTTCGGCTAATGAATATGTCATTCAATCCAGTTTTTCAGGTGCTAATAATAAGCCTAATCCTGATAAGAAAAGCATATCAGAAAGTCAACTGATCAAACCAAATGGATTACAGTACCAAAATCTTGATTTTCATCAGTCGAATCGTTCGTCTAATCCTCAGAAATCCAAGAAGCCCAGATTAGATTATCTTTCAAATTCATTAAACATAAACTTCCAACTGCATATCTCATCTGCATCCTCCATGGATGAACCCGATTCAGAAGCTATCGTGCAAATGAAAGAAATGATTTATCGGGCTGCGGCCTTCAGGCCAGTGAATTGTTCTGAATTAATTTGGGGACTCAATTCTTTTTTATAAGTCTAGGGGTAGGGTTGCAATTTGTTCTGAATTTTTTTTTTTTTTTTTTTTTGTTTTTTTTTTTAATAAGAGGGTATAATTGTCATTTTTCGTTCCAAAACAGTGAAAAGGACCTTCAGCGCAACGAAAGGTTCAAATAAGGGTAAAAATGCCAAAAAATGAAAGGTATGGACGTTTTCCACAATAACCTCAAAAGATATGGACGTTTTGCGTCAATTACCCAAAGAAAAAATATCACATATGGTTAATAGAAAAATAAAAGTTATAAAAAAAAGTCAATGTAAATGTTGGAATTGTGGAGAAATGGGTCATATAAGCGCTGATTGTGATAAAAAGAAAATTAAAATGTTACAAAAAGAATATTTGAAAGAGATGAATTAAGTGAAATATCAGGCATTGAAGAATATTATAATCAAGAAATTTATATAAGGAATTAGAATCTGAATAAGGAAATAGATGAAATAGAAAGTAATAATATAAATATATAAGAATATAAAGGAATAAAATGATATGGATTAAAAGTTACATTTAATAACAATAAATTTAGAAAATTACAAAAATTATCTTTAGATTTAACAATAGGAAAGTTGGAAGTTTTAGATACAATTTGGAAAAGATAAAGGATAGCAATAAATGAATATCATAAAATAGAAAAAAAAATAGATGTAAGAACAACATATGGACAATATAAATTAAATCTTTTAACAAAAAATATGATTGAAGAACTATTAACAAAGGTTAGTAAAAAATAAAGTGAAAAAATCCAATATATTTATTTAGGAGGAATACAAATAGTGTTTAAATCATTATTTAGAGAAGAGATTGACTCACTCTTAACTATAACCTTACATGATGGAAGAATAATAAATTTAAAAGATAGCAATTTAGGAACAATAGAAGGAAATGCCACATATCAAAAAATAATGTTTACATGTTACCCAAAATATTGTGTATCATTGAAAGATAGAAACTTTAATGAAGTTTTAGGATTACATTTTAAATTGCATAAAAATGATATTATGCAATTAAGTGATCAAATTATGACTATACAATATAAAGTTTTATACACATTTACCAAATCTAATTATAAAAACATTTATTCCAATAAACCTTATATTGCAATACATAAATAATGTAAGGATATTAGCAAAATAATAGAACCAAATAAACAAATAAGTTTAATTCAAGAAGAATATGAATTTTGTATAACAAAAAATAAACCTGAAATAACAGAATTAAATGAAGGAGAATGTTCTGCTAATATAACATTTAAGGAAGGAGAATTAATCAAAAAATCTTAGAATACCTAATAAAAATAAGTTAGAATAATTTAATAATATAAAAGAAATAAAATTATATAAGAATGTTGGAAATATGAAAATAGAAGGAGAATATTATAATGGGAGAAAAAATATAAATGGACCAAATATATTAATAGATACAGGAGCTAGTGAATGTCATATAACTTCAATTAGAAATAAAATATTAATAACTCATGAAACTAATCCATATAGATATGTAAATTTTGATGGACAGGTACATATTACAGATTTGGAAGTTAAAATACAAATAAAAATAAGAGGAATAGATATTTTAGTACTGTGTTATAAAGATAAAAGTATGGATATAAATCCTCATATACTTTTAGGAATAAGTTTTTTAAATGGATTTGAAAATTATAGTATAAAAAGAGAAGGATTATATATAGTTCATAATGGACAAACTATATTATGTAAGAAGAACTAAATAAATAATCAGATAAGTTTGCCATTTGCTGTATATATACAAATCACTATTATAAAAATAAATATAACAATTTGTGCTTTAATATATATATGAAGTGATAAAACAATATTCAAAAGTTTTTTAACAAAATCATGGAATGATAATAGTAATATAAAAATAACTAAAGTCACAGGAGAAAGTACCCAAATAATAAATAGTGCTGATAAAGTTAGTATAATTTTTGAAAGTAAACAAGTTACAATAAAAAAAATTAATAAATATGATAAATTAGAGTGCGATATATTATAGTAAAATAATTATATGATAATGCTACAAACACCTTGTGGACATTTATTAAAAATTTCAAGAGAATTTAGACCTTATAGAGTTCAGTCAGCTCAGCGTGGTAATAAATGGAAGAAAAAACCAATAATATTTAACGAAATAAAAAATAAAAGAATATTGTATAAAAGAGTTTTGAAAACGGGAATAGAAATAAGTATAGAAAACATTATTGAACAATTAGAAAAAGTTTATGGAGAAAATTCATTATTGTTTTGGAAACCACATCACCCTAAAGACAAAATAGAATTGATAAACAAATGTTATAATAAGAGTTAGACTAATGATTTATACTATAGAAGATACACAAGAATTCAAAAATCAGATAAAGGAATTGTTAGAACAAAAACTTATTAGACCTAGCAATGAATCTCATAGTAGTCGAGCATTTATGGTTATGAAACATTCTGAACAGGTCAGAGGAAAAACTAGAATGATTATAAATTATAAAGAATTAAATAAATATACTAAATTTGATGGATATTTTTTTACCAAATAAAGAAGTTTTAATAAACATTGTAAAAGGAAAACAATATTATTCTAAATTCGAATGTAAATCAGGATTTTGGCAAATAAAAATGAAAGAAAATAATATATAATATACTGTATTTAGTACACTTTAAGAAAAATATGAATGGTTATTAATACCATTTGGATTAAAAAATCCACCACAAATATATCAAAGTAAGATAATTTATTTAAAAAGTTTAATGAATTTCTAATTCTTTATATAGATGATATACTGATATGTTCTAACAGTAAAGAAGAACACAAGAATCATTTAATACAATTCATAAATGAATGTAAAAAATAAGGAATTCCACTTTCTAAAAAGAAATCTATAATAGAAAAACAAGAGATATATTTTCTTGGATTGTCAATAGATAAAAGAGGAATAAAATTTCAGACTCATATAATTAAAAAGATAGAAAGTTTTTCTGATAAATTAGAATCCAAAGAACAAATACAAAATTTTTTAGAATGTTTAAATTATGCAGAAGGTTTTATTGAAAATCTTTATAAGAAAAGATATAAAATACAAATTTTATTTAGAAAAACAAATACTAAATGATGGAATGAAGAACATACAGAAATATTTAAATCATTAAAAGAAGAATGTAAAAATTTACCAAAATTAAGATTACCAGATGAAAAAGACAATTTGATTTTTAATACTGATGCCTTAGATAAATATTGGGCAGCAATATTAAAAACAGATTTAAATGAAATTGGTAGATATTCAAGTGGAACTTTTAATCAAGCAGAAATAAATTATATCACTCGTGAGAAATAATTATTAGCAATTACTAAAGGAATAAAAAAGTTCTCATTATTTTTGTTATCCAAGAAATTTATTGTTAAAACTGAAAATTATCAAGTTGTAGGATTAGTCAGGAATAAATTACCATCAGAACCTCAATACAGAAGGCTCCATAGATGGCAAGCTTATTTAGCATTTTATAATTTTGATATAGTTTATATTACAGGCGTTAATAATTTTCTTGCAGATTTTCTCAGCAGAAACATAGAATTTGTTGATGAATAAAGCTAAGGTCATGGAGTTATACCAATCTTTTTTACATATACAAAAAATGACAGATTTTATTAAAGAAGAATTTGAAGATATAAATACTAGAGCAACACAGATCTCAAAAATGTTCAACTCAAATATAAAAATATTGTTGAATATCACTATTGAGCATCATAAAGAGGCTATAGAACTCAAAAATCAAATTGATACTATTGCAGCACAACTAAAAAATATACTGTTTGAGACAGATATACCAAAGAGCTCAAAAAATGAGTTTTCCAAATCAATACCAAATAGGGACTGATGAAAGCAGCAGTAGACCCAGCGTGACAATATATCAACTGATAAAAAAGCAGATTCCATTTTAGTATCATCAACCAAAAAATGGTGATACATGGAGATAAAAGAGATTCCAAAACAATCAACATCATAGACCAAGAAGATAAAATTCCTTTAGATCCAAAAGAAAAAAATATACTGAAAAAGTCAGAATTGCTTACGAAATAAAAATGAATGATTCATATTTCATTTCTCCGGGAAATAATATATATCCCAAAATAACAACTATGGAAGAAGAAGACCCTTCATTTATAAAAATTATGGAAGATTATGGATTTATGAATTTGATATATCCAGGAAAAGATTTGATAGAAATTTCGAAATTTGATGAAATATTCATAAAAGAAGTATCCAGATTTGCCAAATGACAAATAATATATTTGAAATTTTACTCAATAAGTCCTGAATACGATGAAATTATTTATTATCCAGTTGAACATATAATATCAATTGGGTATGTAGCAGTCAACTTTCAAATAGATGTGGTGGAAAATGATAGAAAAGTTTCAACAGTGACAAAATCATGGATCAGACATAGAAGAGTACCTGGAATTAAAGCCATATACAACATTGCAAAAAATTTATTTGATAAAACATTCTCATGCCTGTGCCAATATGAAAACTGGATACTGGTATCAAATCAAGAACATGAAAAATCAGAAATATTGAAAGATTATATTACAAGATTCGAAATAAATCAATTTTCAGAATGTCCTACCACTATAAAAGAATCCTGCCAGTTAAGGGAGTACCCCAACTGCATGTGAAAGAAAAAGACAATGATAGAGCACCTTTGACAAAGCTATATAGAAGACAATAATACAGCTGCATGTAAAGCTATAGAAGATAAATGAGAGTAATAGAGAAATATGCTCTTTAATTAAAAAGTTGAAGAAGTATGTGAAGATATAGGTCCAAGGAGAAAAATAATAGAGAGGCAAGTGTGCCTTTACTGATGTACTCAATGATATAATAGAATCTCATAGACTTGTATAAATAGAGGTATTGTAATAGATAGAAATCATCTTGAAATCTTGAATTGTAATCAATATCCACTCCAAAGCCATCTTCAGTTTGAAAAATCAGTTTTTCTAGAAATCATTATATGCAAAATAAAAATATTGTAAAAGTTCTGATAGAAATAAAATTCAAATATTTTGATATCAATATGAGTTTCTAAATCTTTATTCCCAACGATTCTTGATGGATCTAATAGAAAGTTTCCTTATTATTTTAGCAAAAGGAGAGCTTTTATTTAACAGAAATCTAGAATTTTATTCTTTAGGATTGATACAGTGAGAGCAATAAGCTGAAATTGTAAAAATTTCGTGAAGGTAGGAGGCCGTTGAAGGAAGTCGTTTACATATTCAGAGCTCAAAGGTTACTCGGTTATAAGAATAAAGATACAGATCAAATCTAAGGTAAAACTACTAAATTTTTGCTAAAAATTAGAATGAATCTTTTTAGATCTTAGAGAATCAAAGGGATTAATTGCATGATTTGATGATTATTTGTATGAATAAATGCCAAGATATACAATTAAATGATTGGATAATTTATTAGAAAGAATATTGAAAGTAATAAAAAATATTTATTCTCAACTAGAAAATATGGATGCATCTTCTGAAGAATATAGTATATTAAATAATAAATGTGAATAATATGTTGTAGATTATTCCAATTTATTAGATCATAGAATGAAATTACTTTCAAATATTCAAAATAGAGTAAATATAAGATAAAATGTTTAAAAGATTATGATATATATTGCAATATAGAAAGAATAATTCCATTAAGGGCAATATAGACTTTTCTATAAAAAGAAATAGTGATAGGCCAAATAGAAAAATCTTCCTAAAATCTTGAATATGCATCAATACTTCACCTCAAATTCTAATGTTTGAGGTGAACTAAGCAGGTGGTAGAATTCAAAGGATAATTGACTTTTTCTATGAATTCCATGTATTGATTCATATTTGTCATTTATAGTGACATATATTTATCATTATTCCTGGAGGAATCATTTTGTATCCCTTCAGTCATCAAACTCTTTTCTGCATAAGAATGGTCACTTGAGTTCTGGTTTCTTTCAATTAAGCCCTAATTTGCCCCCATTAAATTAAAATTTATTTTTCTCCATCTTCTTATAAATTACAAATTCTTCAATGGTATAGTATTATACGTAAATCTAAAAACTTTTTCTTCTTTTTTAATGACATATTTTTCAAAAAATTACTATTCCCTCGAGTGTGTAATAGTAGAGCTCAAACAGGTGCTAAGTCACTCACTCTCAACGTTAACCCATTATTAAGTCACTCTCGGCCAAAACAAATTTCATTTGAATCTCATGAGAATGTTAGGACAATCTGAGAGCATCCCACTTTCCCATTGTCGTTAGGAAAAGAGACCCACGCCTTGAAGATTCAATCTTTACCAAATACACACACTGATCTACGGGGAGATGAAGAAACCGTTTGGGAGTCCAGGAAAAGCGAGTGGTCTGATATTGAGGATAGGACAGTGCTTATTTTCAACAGCTTCAATTGGAGTGATGACCTCTGCTTCTGGCTTCTTTACTGTTACTGCGTTTTGGTAATTTTATTTTTGCCACACAATTCCGTTTTTCCTTTTTATTTTAGTCTTTGATTACGGGGATATTGATGGGTTTCACTTTTCGTCAAACCAACACGTACATTTTGATAATTTCCATTCAAAGGAAAAAAGATTAAGCACATTCTGAAAGAAGAAACCGGGGAAATGTAAATGTCTTCGTTTTGGAAAATTACTATATAGTGTGTGTTGTAACGGTTGATTGAGCCAGAGAAAACTATGGAGTTTATAATATCCAAAAAAAGGGGCTTGATCAATACAATTTAATGCACGCCAATAGTCATACTGAGGGTTAGGTAAGGATATGGTCAATCAAAATCCTTGTGGACCAAATACCCATAAGAACCAGACCTAGAGTCGTTTATTTTACCTTAATCAAGTTTGATTCATACATTCAGCCATAGGTTCTTCCCATAATATTTTGATTGAACGCGTTGCTGCTATGTGAATGGAGATAAATCCAATTGCTTACTACGTGAAAAACTTTCCTGGTTGATATAAAATAGACTTTGTTCCTAGACTCTTTCATCTCTATATGGTTTCACCATTTTTTCCCCACCTGGGTAGCTTTCTGCAGCCCCTTTGATTCTAGTATTATAAATTAAGACTGGTTGATTTAGTTATAGTCCATCAATGTTGTATTTTGGAGCCTTTAAGTACTTTGTTCCTATGAAAGCATATGGGGTGATCTTGTCTGCTGATTTAATGTTTTAAGTTTAAACCAATAATCCTAACATTCTTGCTCACTTCTCTTTGTTCAATATCTTCTATCTGAGTATACCCTTGCTTTTGTTATAAGAATGATTTTACTTTCAATATCATAGTGCTCCTGCTAATTGTTATACATCTTTGTTCCAGCTATTTAATTGCATCAATGGGAATTCAGGTTTTGTGGAGTTTTGGGCTTGCCTGCCTCGACATTCATGCTTTGAGGTTCAACAAGGAGCTGCATAATCATGTCATTATGAGCCTGTTCGTCGTTGGTGACTGGGTACTTAATATCTCTCTTAAGCTTAATTTTATCATTACTTGCATGAATGAACATATATATTGCATCAAGCATGATATTAATGAACATCAGGAATGTCACTTAGGAGATGGCTAGGGAAAGTTATTACCCTGAATATGAATGTATGTTCCTTTGCTCTGGTGAACTACTATTTGCTGAAGTTAACATTTATCTTTTCCTCTTAGGAGGACAAAACAGTCTTCGAAACAGTGGAAGTATTAGCAAAACGCTTAACGAATAAAAAAATAAAATTTAAAAGTACAAGATAGTTTTAAAAAACTTGTACTAACTTTCATGTATTTATCAGCTTATTTTATCTGATACAATTATATTTGATTATGAACATATTGCAACATCAACATTTTAAAAGCCACGGTGTTGAAAAAGATCAAAATTCTTGTGGTTGAAATGCTTAGTTGTTTTAGGTGGGAAGACTAATGGTGGTAGTTTATGTTGAATTTTTAAGTCTTAGAATATCTTATCTATAGCTTCCCTCAATTCAATTATTAAGAAGTCTCCTTGTCCAATAAAACACAGCCACAAGGAATGACAATTTTTGGTTTTGATATAAATTAAAGTCACATGGTTCAAGTTGCTTTTAGTTGTTAATTATGCCCTGTTAGAACCTTTCTTTTGATGATGAACTTCAACTGTAACTTATGCAATAACAATATTATATCTTTCAAAAAGATGTGATTCGTGATGCAGGTAGTAGCAACTCTATCCCTTGCGGCTGCATGCTCCTCAGCTGGTGTCATGGTTTTGTTTACTAAAGACACAGAGATGTGCAAGACATATACCAAATTCTCTTGCAATTTGTTCCCGATTTCAATAGCTTTTGCCTTTGTGTCCTGGTTTCTTGTGGCCATTTCATCGTATGTAATGTTTTGGCTTGTGGCCTCGATTTGAAAGATATAGAAATGAAGCCACGAATGTGAGCAGTTATTTCAACTCTTGATGTACATATTGTCGAGTTTGAAGTCACTTCTCTTTTTTTCACTTGTTTTGATTTGTTGTAAAACATGATCTGATTTATCGTGGTGGCTGTTCTTCGGTAGCCCAATCTGTAAATGAGACCTAACCCTTGAGCTTCAGATAAAAGATTCATCAGTTTTGCTACAGGTACAATTTGGTTGACAGCGTGTGAGATGGTCATTTTTTGCCTTTAACAACACTTAACACATAATTGAATTTCAACGTGGATGTCAATAATCAATGTAAAAATAGCATAATTCAAGATTCATATATAAGTGATTCAAATTAGTCAAAGAGAGAATATTATTTTCTGATATCTATTATTATACATTGCAGGTCACTAGTTGCCTTGACTATTCGACTTTGTAGTGATCACAGTTTGCAAGAATGGCAGGTTTATCCAACCAATTGATTATGGTGGATTTTTTAGAATAAATTTTGTGAAAATTGGTTTTTTTTTTTTTTTTTGGAGAACGTGTGATTAGAATAATAAAGAAAATTATGAATTCACATGCAATATTAATTCATTGATAAATGTATAATTTAAAATAAATGTCTTTTTCACAAAGGTTTTTTCGAGAATAAATTGTACGAAAAGTGATTTTTAAAAAATAGATGGGATTAAATAGTAAAGAAAATTTATGAATTTACGTATAAAATTAATTTATTGCATATTGCTCGAATAAAACATTGAATTTGAAAAAAAATAAATTAAAGAAATAGCATCAGGGTTCGAGAAAAAATGAATTATAAACACTCCATCTGTCCCAATTATATAAACTGAGTTTCTTTTTTCCTCTTGTCCCAAATATAAAAGCTTGTTTCTTAATTTAGAATATTTTGTTTTGTTTCTTTATCAATATACTTGATGTAGCAGGTGTGCATATATCCTTAGCCTATCCTCGAGGACTCGAAAAAACATTTCCCATGACTCTAAAGCCTCAATCCTCGGGCATCACGGTTTCCTCGGGATCAAGAGAATGTCCAGGCTATGGTATTACACTTCCATAGCATTCGGTGGTAACTGTCCTTGAGTACATCCGTGGGTATGTGAACCAGCCCAATGCGCGATGCCCTCGAGCACCTCCATTCGCTCTATTTTCAGACGCCATTACACCCTCCTACCTAAGGATCCTAACTTGATCTAAATATCTCACCATAGGACTCCTACGTCCGCAGGAAATCTACATCAGCATTATTATCAGCCTCACAATCGTAATGCAAGTCCAACACCTCTCTCAAATAAGACTCTTTGTGATAAGTACATCCAACTGATTCAGTCCTAAGGATAATGCACTACCTAATCCCACAAGGATCAAACTGCCTATCTGTTAGGAGTATGACTCAAATAGGAGTTTTTTGAAGAGGCGTATTCGACTTGGACTAGGAGAATATTAACCCAGGGCTTAAGGAAATTAAGTTGAATAAGGAAACAAAATCCTGTTGAAATTGGGTCTCCCAATTGTAATATATTTTCTTGCCTTTTAGGACTTTTCTAGGGTTGGCCTATAAATACGAGACTCCTCTGGTCAGTTTGTAGAGAGAGTAACATAGAAGCAGTATTGCTAGTCTGTCTTGTATTCTCCATACTGTTGAATTAATAAACATCGTTCCTCTGCGTTATCATTTGTGTTCATTCTTTACAAATTCAATTTTGTGTTTTCGTGGTGTGATCTAGTATACTTACTTCAATATTGTCATTAAATCTCGTTCTTTATAATCTGGATTGGAATCAATATGTGTTATTGTAGCTTTCACGCCCAATAAGTGGTATCAGAGCTTGGTTCCTTTCGTAGATTGGCTGAGATTTTTTCGGGATGGCTGGGTTGAAGTATGATATTCTGCAACTAGATCGCAACACAAGATTTTCTTTGTGGTAAGTAAAGATGAGGGCTGTTCTAGCTCAGTTAAATTTGGACGATGTGTTGTTGAGTATTGGGAGGATGCCAGCTGGTTGAACGACGGAGGAGAAACAACGGAAGAATCGGAAGGCTGTTTCATTGATTCATCTTCATTTGTCCAACAATATTCTGCAGGATGTTTTAAGGAGAAAACGACAGATGCTTTTTGGTTGAAGTTGGAACAATTGTGTATGACTAAGAGTCTTACAAGTAAACTGGCTCTTAAGCAGAAGCTGTATTCACATCGCATGATGGAAGGAGAGTCGTTGGAAGACTATGTTGCCGTTTTCAAAGAAATAGTTGCAGATTTGGAGACATTGGAGGTTAAGTACGATGAAGATGATCTTGCCTTGATCCTGTTGTGTTCGCTGCCTAGATCTTATGCGTCGTTTCGAGATACTATCTTGTATAGTCGAGATACTTTGACTATAGAAGATGTCTATGATACTTTGCACTCAAAGGAGAAAATGAAGCATTTGGTTGGAGCTATATCAAGGGAAAAGGAAGCTCTTGTATCTCAAGGTGGTCGACGAAGAGGCGGATCGAGAGTTAGATTTAGCAATGTGACATGTTACTATTGCAAAAGGAAGGGACATATTTGGAAGGATTGCGATATGTTGCAGGTTAAAGGTGATTTAGCTATAAATCGTGGGGTGCAATCTTTGAATTCAGATGAAACCAATGTAGTTGAGAATTGTTCAAATGCCGAAGAGGTGATGTTGATCATGGAATCTGATGTGGAATCTAGGCCTGACAAGGAGTGGATTCTTGATTCAGCATGCACGCACCATATGTTTTCCGATAGGAATTTATTTCAAACATATGAGGTTGTTCAGCAAGAAGGAATTGTAATAGGAAACAACCAACTTGCCATATTGATGGGATCGGTCGAGTTAGATTGAGGCTGCGGGATGGAACATTTAGAACAATTGATCAAGCTCGACATGTTCTTGACCTGAAAATGAATCTCATTTCGCTAAGTACCCTGGATGCAAAAGGATATAAATTCTTTAAAGAATGTGGAGTCTTGAAGGTTCGAAAGGGAGTTCGAGTTGTACTGGAGGGACGGAAAAGATCTCAGTTGTACATTTTGCAGGGGAGTGTAGAACCAATTAAGAGGAGACATTTGGACAAGTTTAGTATTGTGGTGGAAGTTCAGTTTGGTACAGTACCTCTTGTGTTGGGCTCTAAGTAGATTCAGAACGCTGCTAGGGAGAGCATTGGTGATTCCGCTTTGTCACCAATTTCAGCGAGTACACTGTGTTCGGTTGCTGGGGAAAGACTTATCGAGCGTAGGTACTGTGGTGTCAACAATGTCTGGGATGCTTCTAGGGACGTTGAAGGTAACACTTTTAGCAAGGGACCTTCTGATCAAGCATCTGGTTTGGTTCTTACTACAAGGTGTGCTTCGGCCCCGTGTGATCAACATTAATTCCTTTTTGGAATTGGGAACCTTGGGAATTGGGTTCGGGTGTTGGTTGTGAATGCACGGGCAACGGATGAGTGTTTGGTTTATATGGAGTGGTTACTGTGTTGAAGAGATTCGGTCAGTTAATTTCGATGCAGATGAATTTGAAATCTAGGAGTTTCATTCATAGCATCGAAATTTGAGTCTAAGATGGAGATTGTTAGGAATATGACTCAAATAGAAGTCTTTAGAAGAGGCATATTCGACTTGGACTAGGAGAATATTAACCTAAAACTTAAATAAACTAAGTTGAATAAGGAAACAAAATCTCGTTGAAATTGGGTATCCTAATTGTAATATTTTTTTTGACCTTTTAGGACTCTTCTAGGGTTGGCCTATAAGTACGAGGCTCCTCTAGTCAGTTTCTAGAGAGAGTAACATAAAAGCAGTATTGCTGTCTGTCTTATATTATCCATACTGTTGAATTAATAAATATCGTTCCTCTGCGTTTTCCCTTTGTGTTATTTCTTAACAAATTCAATCTTGTATTTTCGTGATGTGATATAGTATATTTCAATATTGTCATTGAATCTCGTTCTTTATAATCCAGTTTGGAATCAACGTGTGTTATTGGAGCTTTCGCGCCCAACGCTATCTCTATAAATATGATGCTCCACCCTGTTGTTCAGGTACATTTTTCATTATTTTCAATTTATAGCCGCGCACACAAATTCTCTTTCCGACTTAAGCATAAGATAGGCGACGAAAATACACCTCCTTGCCTTTATTTTAGGTACTGGAAAGCCGTGATCGTGCTCAATCACAGTCCTCAAGCTCGAAAAATCAGTATGTGCAGATTTTTGGTAGCATCAATACCCTTATTCAATTTTACCCATTTTATATGCCAACTTCTTAGAATCATCCAGATACATACACTTCCCACTTTTTTGAAAATATGGAACAACTCTCATTTGTTTTTCTTCAAATTAAATCATTCAAATTCTTTACTAATTCTAATAATAATTTCTACTACATATTAAAAATTAAATAGGGATAAACTATAAAATATTAGCAGATATTAATTTTTCAATGACTTCAAAAAATATTTCTTAGTCTGTCTAAAAAATGAAATAAGCCTATATAATTGAAATAGAGGAGTAATAAATAAAGCAGCATGAATCCAACATACCCTGTCTAGTCCACACGCTGCCACGCAGAAGATATAAGTACTAAGAAGCTTGGGGAAGTTTATCGAATTCCTCTAACTATAGTAAATGATGCAATTCGAGAATATCCGAGATTGAACACAATAACTTGTCACCGCTCTATAAATAGTCCTACCCCTTCATCTCCCCCGTCATATTCTCATAACCAGCAGAAAACATAGACAATTCTCACTAATTTCTCAGCAACTCTTTTCAAAAATGGCTATGATTCCAAGCTTCTTGAGCAGCAGTCGAACCAACGTTTTCGACCCATTTTCTCTTGACGTCTGGGACCCTTTTCATGGCTTCCCCTTCTCAAGCACTTTAGCCAACGTTCCAAGCTCAGCTCGCGAAACCGCAGCCCTCGCCAACACTCGCATAGACTGGAAAGAGACTCCAGAGGCTCACGTCTTCAAGGCCGATCTTCCTGGGCTCAAGAAGGAGGAAGTAAAAGTGGAGGTAGAAGATGGTAGAATTCTGCAAATTAGCGGTGAGCGAAGCAAAGAGCAAGAGGATAAGACCGACACTTGGCACCGCGTTGAGAGAAGCAGCGGTAAATTCTTGCGCCGGTTCAGGCTGCCGGAGAATGCGAGGATGGATGAAGTTAAGGCTAACATGGAGAATGGAGTGCTCACTGTCGTTGTGCCTAAAGAGGAAGAGAAAAAGGCTGAGGTCAAGCCAATTGACATCTCTGGTTAAAAGCATGTGAAAAATCTTTGCACACTTCTTGTTCCAGGTTACTACAGCTACTGCTCTTGTGTCTTTTTGTTCGAGACTGTGATATCAATAAATCCATGCTTCTGCAGTTGTAAATTACAGAACCTTTGGAATAATATGTATGTATGTTAAATTCCAGTTCAATGTGGCCCTGGTTTCCTAGCCACTCTATGGAACAGAACCTTTTGCCACATTTTCTATTTGTTATTTTACTTCAGATTATCATTAAATTGTTATTTAGATGATCAATAATTATAATATTTTTATGATATTAACAGTAGAGATATAAATTTAGATTTTAATTTGAATCAAAGTTAACGATTAATTTTAATTTATGAGATTTACAATTTTTTAGTTATAGATTTTATCATTTTTATCAAAATTTATTAAAAAATTAATTTTATTTCTCATCAAATAGTAGCTAATATGGTCTAAAAAAAATGGTAAATGTGATGTATAAGCAGATTTTAAGTCCCTGTTTGGTTCCCATTCTTTTATCATTAAAATGAAAAATATGATCGTTATACATCATATCAAGCCACCAAATTTGAATTTCTATTTTTTGTACGGGGTCTTAACGATTATATTTTTTCATTTTCATTCTTTCAAAAATGAGAAACAAATAGAGGCTAAATAATAGACAATTCAAAGTTTATTGCTGTAGATGTCATAAGTACCTATTAAAAGGCTAGAAAAAGAAAAATCCTAAATACAGTTACCAAGTTGTGTACAAGTAAGACCAAGAAATGTGTAATATGAAGATATTGAAATAAGGATAATGCTTCGTTGGAGCTAATATGGTTTAGGAAAAAATGGTTAATTTATTGGGTTTTGATACTTAATAAATTTCGGTTCATGATGTTAAAGTCGGAATATATTTTATAGTTCTCGGTCGATAAGTGAAATAATTACCAATAATCAAGTTCAAAAGATCTATCCGGCTCATACATATTACCTTTTGGATGATTTTGAATCTTGATCTATTTAGCTTTATTATTGATCATTTAAAGCCTAATCTAACCCTATATTCATGTTTTCCTACCCTAGCCGTTTGGGTATGATTTTGTGTGAAAAACAAGAAGAAATGTGTCCCACTTCCTTGTGAAAATCAGCCGCTTTGGCCTCCATATTGTGCGTTCTTTCACTATTTTTCTCCTGCCTTTGCGACTTATAAATTATCACTATTATCTTATCCTTTCTATGTAAGATTGAGAAACAATCGAAGTGAATATATTGGTTGTGGGTTGTAGTCGTTGATTGGTTGTTTAGGAAAGAAAGGTAACGTGAAATTGAGCCCAAAAAATACTAATTTGACGATCCTTGAAGCAAATTTTCACGGCATAATGTATTGTGTAAACAGATTTTAAAGAATAAACAATTTAAAATAAGTTTATTGCTGTAAATGTCATAAGTACACCTATTGAAAAAGTTAGGAAAAGAAAAATCCTAAATACAATTACCAAGTTGTGTAGAAGTAAGATGAAGTCTCAATGTGTAATATAAAAATATTGAAATAAAGATAATACTATCTCTACACCTTAAAGTGTACGGACGGGTTTACAACCCCTCACACGGAGGGGGGCCTACATACAATAAATTATACGTGGGCCCCCTAGGAGTTGGGTGTAAACCCTTGAGTACACGATTATATACATGTAGCATTATCCTTGAAATAATTATGTTGTTACTAGTAGACTTGTATGTATCATGTATGCAAATATTGTTACGATGAATGGTGAGATAAACAAAAGAGTAATAATGTTTATCATCATAATGATGGAATATCGATGATATAACAACTCATTATTTCTCACATCTCTCTCTCTCTTGAGACCACGTCACCTCCCCCTCTTTCATAAAAATTAAATTGTTCAATCCCATTATTCCATATAAACTGTCGCATTACCGATGTTCCATCATCATGATAATAAAATGCATTCTAAAGTATTTAAAAAAAAAAAAAAAACCCTTATATCCAAGATAGAGACGATGGTTGATGTTTCTCAAGCAAGGGTGACTGGTGATGTGAGAAAGATATAAATTGGAGATGATGTATCCCTTTGGATGCCCTACG